TGTTATTCCCTTCCCTTGACTACCATTGTGAAGTATTATTGAGTATTGAGTATTGTTGTTGTGAGTATTGGTTGTTGTTGTTGTTGTCCATGATAAAAAGAAGAGATATGAGATTGGTGGTACAAAATTGATAGGTGGATTTGATGCACTAAGCGTGCTTTTGGCAATAACTGCGCTGCGGTGCAGTTATCCTTTTGATATGGTGCTGCGGTACCTATTTGATGCACTACGCGTGCTTTTGGCATTGTACTGTGGTACAATCTGGTGATTTGATAGGGCTGCAGGAGGGGAGCATGCGCTGCTCCGGAGGGATAAGGGTGTGGCGATAAAAGGGCGGCCTGGAGGTAAAGGTTGGAACTGTTATAAGGATGGAGAGGAGTAAAGGTTGGAACTTGGTTTAAGCTTGGATAATGGACACTCCTGTTGTTGATCGTTTGCTATTGTTGGGTCTTGTTGTTGTCTTGTCTTGTGGTCTTAGGTTGCATGCTAATATCTTTATGTTGTCTACTGGTGACATGTCTGTTATTGTGCTTGAGTCTTGATCTTGGTTTTAAAGGTAGAGTTGTTTAGGATTATATTTATGTATTCCCAAGTCTCAAAATGATTTCTTATATCTATATGTATTGTACTCAACGCGTAGGAGTAGGTTACTAAGCATTATTCGCTGACGGTTGTTACACCATATGTTTTTCCGGTACCGATCAGTAACTTCGGAGTGCGCTAGACGAGTTCGTGGACTTAGCTTTAGTTAGTACTAGTTTAGTTGCTATGGCCTGTGTGCCTCGAATGTATTTGGATATTGTCTGTGGATTATGCTTAGTTTAGTTAGTTATAGCCGGTACATTTAGGTTCTCAAGCTTAGATGTGGCATAGCACCGCGATACTCATGTTCTAGTTTCCGCTCTGTTTAGATATTAATGATAGATTCGCCTTTGTTTTATAAGCTTTAAATGTTTTAAATTAGTCTGAAAATTAGGGGTGTTACACAATTTTTCATTCAAAATTCTTTCAGCTTTGTCAATCTGAGTCTTCAAATTGTTTTGATACTCAATGAGTTCCTTCAGATTGACTCGGGTATCCGTGTGTGGTTGTGCCATTAATTGGCTTTGTTCAGCCAATTTTTCTCCAATAGTCTGGCAAACATCATCACTGGATTCGGCAATTTTGGCAAATAGAGAGGTAAAAATGTCATTTTCTTGATCACTTGTCTGCACAATATTTTGAGGATATCCGAATGGACTCCTTCGTAGATCAGTGAGAATAGGTGTGTCAACAAGTTGCATCTCTTTTTCTTCGGGTGATTCGACTTCTTGATTCAGATCACCAATTTCTTCTTCTAGAATTCCGGTTCGGGTGTGAGTGTCTGCATCTAAATTTTCACTTCCAAGAGAGAGGTCCACATTAGGCATGGTGGACTCATTATTGTGCATTGCCAATGTACAGGAATATTCCCCCCAAATTTGTTGTCTACTCTCAGTAGCAACCTCTGCTGCAACTTCTCCTAGTAGTTCACCTCTTACTTCATTTGTCAATTCTCCTCTTAATTCTTCTGACAATTGTCCTCTTACTTCTTCTGACAATTGTTCTCTTAATTCTTCTCTTACTGCCACTTCAACTTCATCAGATCCCACCATTCTTTCATTACATTCAAGATTCACATTAATTGCAGTGGGAGTCAAATTAGATATCAACAATGAAGCTTCATGGACTTTGACAGGTATATCCATATGACTTTCAGTGGCCATGATTGGTACTTCAATAAGTGCCGTCCTTTCAGCTCTTTCATCAAACAGTTCATTATCTATAAAAGATGTGTTACCTGGATGATGATGTGTGTCACAAACTGACCTTTGTAGAGCTAACTGAAGGTTTACTTCATTCTGTTTCTCCAGATTGGCTAAACGATTTTGAGTCGTGTTCCTTTCATTGATTGGTGCTTTTACTTTTTCTTTGATGGCCTTTTCTTGTAACTTCATGTTGTAGACTTGATTTAAATCCATGTTTAGTGCGTCCAACATCACATTTGTTCCACACCATTCCAAGGAAAAGTCTTCACTTCGTATCAATTCTGGAGTGATCTTTGCCATGAAAGAGTGATATCTTTCGAGTTTCCATTCTCTCAAAGTTTGCACTTCCATCAATTCTTTCAAGAGTTCTGGATCATCTTGAATGAGGCTGAGTCAAAGACTATTGGTCCTGCACTTCCTTCGGTTGCAGATTGACTTGAGAGCTTTCTTTGTAGATCATTAGAAATTTGAACATCAACTCCTGCAAATTCCATTTATATTGTGTCATCAACACCTTCAGCCAACACGTCTGTTTGATGTATGCTCCTGATTTCAGCAGATTTGAGCGGAACAATAGCCATAGACGTATTGATGGCTCTTTAATCTCTGCCTGACAGATTGCTTGATCCCATCTGATTACTTGAGGCTGAAATTGCCTTGCTATTTCTCAATCTCGAACTTTGTGGAGTTCTTGTGCTTGTGGAACTGCCACCTTCTTGTCCTTTTCTCTGACTTGATCTTTTACCAAAATTCGGACAGTATTTTCTGAAGAGGACCCTGTAAATTCCAACATTCTTGTTCTTTCTCAATGGAATTTTCTTCTTCCTCAGAAGTTCCTCGATTACAAAACCGTATCCAACACCTTGATGAAAGCGGTCTATCACGGCAGGTTTGTTCTTCGGTTTGGTAGCATTGATAAATGCAATGATCTTCATGTAGATGAATTTTGTCCAATTAAATTTGACTCCATTCATGATGCCGTCCATCAGGCATACAGTAGCTGAGGTTAAGTCTTCAGTATTTCCAAATTTATGCTCAAGAATTTTGTAGATCATGTCCACTAACATCTCGTATTCAATTTTCAAGACATTCTTGTGAGCCGATACATCTGCAAATATTGGAGCATTAGGGCCACGAATTTCGTTCCAGAAGTTTTGAACAACATAGTTGTGGGTTCCTAGCATCAGTTGAGATTCTGGAAAATTGAAACATTCTCGAATGTCATCCTCAGTGATTGAGATATCCGATCCTCCAACTTTAAATTGATTGAGTCCTTTTCCACGACTGCATGTAGATAGAATTCGGCTACATCTTCTTCAAAAAGCTCCAAAGTAGTTGTAGGTGAAGAATCCGTATAGTCCACAATCATTTAGGGCTTTAAGGATTTTATCGGTTGTATCTTTACTAGTTGCACCTCGTTTGAAGAAGTCGGGATTGAGTACCATTCCAACTGTTAGCTGTTACGAAAGAGCTAGTAGATTGTTGTCTTCAAAATGAGCCATGATGATCAGTAGGTGATCGTTTGATAGTGGAGAGAGACGAGAAAAGGGAGTTCTTTTGATATAAGGTCTGAAAGTTTTTTTGAATGTTGAGAGAGGAGCTTATATGAAGAGGGAGACTTGAAGGGTTTCTTATCGAAAAGGTGACTTCTCAATTGTGTCCTTTGGTGTAGGTGTGTCGAATAAGTAAGGTTGATGGTAGATGAGTCATCTGATAAATGGTGTCATGAGAAAAGATAAGATATCATCATTAGCAGACAAGAGCATTTAATGCATACAATTCTTTAGAAATACCCTATGCGCGTAAGTTGTAGAGGGTGGATTTTGAAGAGACATCTAGAGATTAAGGAAGGATTTGAGTTCTGATTTCCATGAGATTTGGTTATGGGTGTCGATTTGAGAGAAGAAGAATCGGTTAGAGAGGGGTTTAATTTAGGAGAGGATTATGGGGAGAGGTTTAATATGGGTTGAAGTTTAATTGTGGGTGGGAGTTTATGGGTGGAGATTTGATTTCCAAATAAACTCTGATCTCCTGATTTCCTTCTCAAAAACATATACCACATGTATAATCACATTTTCAATCAAATTTCACACAGCCATATATATTTTAAATTTCCACACGGTAATTTCAAAACAATTAATCACATATACGAAAATTTCCAATTAAAATAAACCACATTTTGAAAATTAACAAAATCAAACAAATCTTCCAAATAATCATTTAGAAATTTCTTCACAAAAATTTTGCATTGAGATTAGATTCTAAAACATTTTAGAAACTAACAAAATTAATTTTCAAGTATAAATTTCTAAAGTATAAATTTTATGAATCTACAGTATAGAAATTATGGATCTACAGTATAGAAATTATGAATCTACAATATATAAATTATGGATATGGAACCATACCCACCTTGCAAGGTGGGCACGTGCTCACAACATAATTTACCAGTGACCGTGCACTTTCATCCCTTAAGAGATGTCAAAAATTTGAACCTCTTCTTGTATGAAAAAATCATTCTGGTCAACACTTTGTCCCTTAATTAGGCGGGTCGGATAATTTTACACACTAAACATTTGTATTAGTATTTCTTTTACTTCACTCATGTTCTACACAAATATTTTCAGGTGAGGTACTGAGGTTGTCTACTCTACACGACGCCGTTTGATGTGTAAAACAAAACAATACTCTGCTGCCGTAATTTTAGATTTTTAGGTCCTTCACTCCTTTGGACCAGGTTGTCTATTCCACACGACGCCGTTTGATGTGAAAAAACAAAACAATAGTCCGCTGCCGTTGGTCTCTCGTATACATAAGTAGACTCAGAAACCAACAAACAAGATAATGCTAACTGAAAACAAACTAGAAAAGGCAAGATAGGAGTATGTATAAGACTCTTCTCTGTGGGCAAAATAGAAAAAGGAAAATGAAAATGAAATTAAAAAGATGAGCAAAAATCTTGTCTTTTTGAACCCAAAGACTACCCATCTCTCTCTTTCTCTCTCTTTCAGACTCCAACAATTCTTTCTTGGTTTACACTCTTTCAGGTCCCCCCTTCCACTCTGTCTTTAGATAATTCTTCATCCGTATGCATTCATGTTTCATAGTTTCAGTCTAATTTTAGTTTGTGTATTCTAAGGTGATAGATGACTTGTTTTACTAAGGTGAGGTTTAATTTAATTAAAGCTTCCTGTTACAAGTACTGGTGTCTGGGTTTATGTTTTCATTTGTTGATTATTGTTTTCTAATGTTTTTTTCCCAATTTAGGAAAAATCTGTTCTTGGTTCTTTGTTGATTACCTTGTTTATTCCAATATTTAATTAATTCTGTGTTGTTTTTCTGCGGTTGATGAAACATGGGGTTTTCTTGATTCTGATTCTGATTCGGATGCTGTGTTTTTGGGGTGCGATTCAATTGCGAGAAATCTGGGTTGCCTGACTTTTGTTTTGCAACAGTATTTGATTTTATTTATGTTTTTTTTTTTTGGTTAAAATATCTAACTAAAGTGGAAGCCTATTATTGGTGCTATTGTCTTGTTTTTTCTTGTTTGGTGCTAAGATAGTGTCGGCAAGGGGATTCATAATTGATTTCTTGTAACCCTCAAATGCTTCATTTTGGAGTATCTATTTCCATGTTTGGTTATGATGCTTGATCTTGTTTCCTTTTGTCTTCTAGAACTTTTTCTTATCCGTTTGCTATTTGTCCTTTTGCTAATTTTATAGTCCAGTTTCGTTCTCTAATTAATTCTCCTAGTGCTTGAAGAGAACCCTTTTCGGTTAGTCATTTGGAGTGTGGTTTGTAGTTTGAAAATGCAAAGGTTAACTACAGTAGTTTTGCTAAACGATCTTTTGATGTTGTCTCAACAGTTCCATTCGTGCTTGTTAGTTTAAGTTCGTTAAGGGATAAAGCGGTGGATGACTCTATTTGAGACGACCAGTGTTGCCGGGCACTGTCATTTGCAAGTATTATTTAGTTTTACAGTTTCGGGGCTAAATTATTTGATCTTAGGCTCAGTTCTGGTTTATTCTGATGCCATTTGTTTTATATTTCATATGGATGCCTTTGTGTTCCGATAGAATGGAAATGATATCTTGACTCAAGTGGAGGAACTAACCGTGACCTGGCTCTGATACCACTTGTTAAGATCGCCACACATTTTCGAGAGCCAGGGTGATGGACTTGGCCCTTTACCGGCCTCTGCCCAACAATCCCCTAGCCACATGGTGCTGGACTTGGCCCTTACTGGCCTCCGCCCAACGTTTCTAGTGTTTTGTATTGCCATATACTTGCCAAAATTCTTTGTAGTGAGGAATATGGGTTTTCGTCTTTCAATACCCATGCGTGATGGTTCATTCGTGGTGCGTGCGTTTTATGAGCGACTTGTTTCCGTTTTGCAGTGAAATGTGCAGAAGAACGGGCGAATAATGGCAGTGGCTGAAGCAAGGGCTGCTTGGCAGAGAACAGCTAACCGATGCTTTGTCCAGGAAGATGCCAAAAGAGCCCCGAAGTTGGCTTGTTGTCCGCCAACATCACCCTCGGCGAAAGAAGTAGATACGGGACCCGCATCTGCTGCCAATCCGCAAGATGCTGAGAGAGCGTGTTTCCTCCCTTCTAATTGGAACTCTTCGTATTCAAATCTATCTCCTAACTCGAGATGGTGGCTACATCTTAAACCCAATTATGGATATCAAGGGGGTTTAGCTGGTGAACACCTCCTTTCGGTAGACGAGATGCAAGGTTCTTCGACCTTTGGAAATTCAACCTCCAAGCTTAGTGAATATGAGATTGAATATGTTGACGAGTTTACGGTGGACAAATCTTTACTCGATTCTCAGGTTAAAATGTCGGCTAGTGTTAAAAACGACCTCGGAATAGGAGACAAAAAACTCGACACTGCATTTGGTAGTGATTCCCTAGATGATTGTCTTAGACTCGAGAGCATCAAGAATCCCACCGGTTTTAGAATGACAGAATCATTTGATTGCCCCGTCTCTAAACCGGCCAGCGAGCTTTCTTTCGATTCAAGCTGTCCTTGGAGTAGTGATAAGAAGTCTGAGCCATGGTGGCGCACTGCAGATACAGAGGAACTTGCTTTCTTGGTTGCACAGAGGTCTCATGATCTTATCGAGAATTGCGATCTTCCCCAACCACAGACCACTAGCGCAAAAGGGGACCCGTGTGTTCGTCTGGGCTGGGTTGATCATAAACGAGCTAATGCTTTGTTTCTGGATCCTAAAGCCCGCTCTTCTGGACAGAAGAATATAAATACCCGGACACAAAGAAACACTCTCGAGAAAAGTGTGTATCATAAACAGTGGGAAGAGCATTTGCAGCTTGGTACCAACACGCCATTGAGGTATTGCCCCTATAAAATTTTCTGCTTTCCGATTCTTTATAATGCTTCAATAGAGCTTATAAATTGTGCCTATTTTACATAGATAAATATGCCCAGATACATAATATCTGGTTTCTCAATATGTGTTGGGCAGAGGCCAGTAAAGGGCTAAGTCCAGCACCTTCCCTCTCGAAAATGTGATGGCGGTTTATAAGAAAATAAAGTTGTATCTTTGCTGTGAGCCATAGCTTTTGACATAGTGGTAAGCGTTTGATCCTAAAAAGTGGTATCAGAACTTAGGTCACGAGTTGGAGTTCCAACAATCGCAAAAACTGTGCAGTTAAGACCAGCAAGTGCTGGAAGGGGGAATTGGCCCTTGAGACTTTACTCTGTTGAATTTCATATGAGCGTATTCTTTCTCATACTTTGTATTCTGGGAAACAGTGACTGCAACCAAAGACCTATGCCCGAAACAAATGCAAACGATAACGATTCCAACAAGGCTCAAATCTTGGAAGCGCTCCGTCATTCTCAAACTCGGGCAAGGCAGGCAGAGATCGCAGCAAAGAAAGCCTCCGCAGAAAAGGAGCGTGTTGTCGAGCTCATCTTCCGGCAAGCGTCGCAGCTTTTTGCCTACAAGCAATGGTTCCATCTTCTGCAACTCGAGAACCTCTACTTCCAGATCAAGAACAACACGAGCCAGCCGATATCCGGAATATTTCCCGTAACGTTACCTTGGCTGCCTCAGAAAACAACGAAACAAAGGAAGAACTGGCACAAATTTGCCAGAGGGAAACGGGAAAAGCGAGGCTGTCCTAATAAGTACGATTTCGGGAAGTATGCACTAATGTTTGCACTGGGTTTGAGTCTTGTTGGCGTGGGCGTGCTCCTCGGATGGACTATAGGGTGGATGTTTCCGAGTTTCTGAGCTGCGTATCGTGCAGGTATTGTATCGAATTTTTGTGCTTTTAGTGGTGGTTGTGTATATATTCAATCATGGGGGAGTTAGGATACTATATATCTCACCATTTCTTTGGATGTGTTGATTCTATAGGTGTTTAGCTTCTCTCTTTGGTTTCTCAGATTTAGCTATGCAAATTTGCTTTGTATTGCATTACAAGATCTGTGGTGACAGTTGTATGTATATATTTGTGACTCAAATCTTATGGAATTTGTTCAATTCTGACATGATTGCAAATTTCCAATGTTGGTCACATAGTGAGTAGTGACACTAGATATATTACTCCGTAGGAAAAATTGTATATTTGGTTCTTGACTTATAAATAAGTTCTGACTCAGTTCTTCAGTTATGGTCTATCCATTTTTAACCCTTCAATTATAAACTAAGTGGCGAGTTTGGTCCTTGACGTTAGGGATTCGACTCAATCGAACGGAAAACTCAAAAACCATTTAAAATTGGAGGGGCAAAATAGGAAATTCACATCGTATTCTCCTTCTCCTTCTTATATTGGATTAATTGGAATCACTTCTGCAACATTGTTTTTCACTTCCTAGCCCCCTATTTCTAAGTTCTTCAACTCCAAAAGTATTTCAATAATAACTTGTTAGAAACCCGAATCTTGTATAAAGAACCTAAGACTTAGTACAAATAAAGTAACCCTTAATCCCATATCTTGTGAAATATAACAAGATGTCAAAATTTTGAAATTGTTTTTGTGTGAAATTTACCAAAGGATATTTTGAGATTTTTAGTATGAAAAGAATTTTTTCATAAACTTTGCAGTAACTTAATCAAGAATCATATACTCTAACAACATATGAAAATTCTATTTATCAATCATTAGACATTCCCTCCTCTCTCCTCTTAAAGCATATCTATATATATATATACTAACAATGCGGTTAATGAACACTTTCAAATCAAATTAATTAATTAAACACTTTCACTTGGTTTAACATTATAATAATAATAATAATATTATTATTATTATTATTATAACAAGATTGCTTGAATTCAAGATCCACGATCTCTTTTTCACAAACATGCAACACGTATAGTATTACTAGTTTTTTACGCGCATTGCGTGATTGAGATAATGCCCAATGTTTTTTTTAATATAAGTAATTTAAAATATATGAAGACAAGATTATATTGGAATTGTTCATACATAGATAAATGTTGAATGCGCGTATTTAAATAGGTAATTCTACGTTTACAAATACAAGATAATATAGTCCAGATTGATTATAATTGTCAATAAAATAATTGTATAGGTATGGTTGAAACCAAATATGGGACATAAGGGAGAGCAAATAAAAATTAGGAAATATAATATTAAATATATACTAATATTGAAGAGTTAACTGCTGATTGCTAAATAAGGACATTGCGAGATAGTTTCTGATTTCAATTATTTGTTGTGTGATTCACTTATTTGAATATTTTTTTTGTCAATAAATCCCCCAAGTAGTTAATATGAATGGCTTAATTATATATTTTTTTTATTTTTTAAAACAATTATTATTATTATTATTATTATTATTATTATTATTATTATTATTATTATTATTATTATTATTAGTATTAGTATTATTATTATTAAATATATGTATACCCTTAGGTCATTTTACATGTTAATCTAAACAGCTAATTTTTTCAAATATCTTTTTACCAATCGTTGGTATAATTCGCTGGTCAAATTCGCTAATATAATCCGCTAACGCTAATCGCTAACTGCTGATTGTCAAACAAGGACATCGTGAGGTAGTTCTCACTTCAATTTGTTGTGTGATTTGAATACTCTCTTTGTCAACAAATCCCTCAAGTATTTAATATGATTCGCTTTATTAATTATATTTTTAAAATTTTTTCATGATATTAATAAAATACTTGGTAAATAAACATATAGCATTATTTGTATTATAACTTTGATATTTAATTAAAAAATAGTGCACAAAAAAAGATAATAGACAATGTGGTGAATATAATCAATTGATAAATTTGAATGTAAATAATTTTTACATTGGAGAAAAATAAAGACAATATAACTAATAAAATTATTTCCCTTAATTAATTTATTGATAATGAATATTTTTTTTAATAAAGACATTGTAGGGATAATGTAGCGAATATAATCAATTGATGAATTTGAATGTAAAGATTTTTTATATTGGAAAAAAATAAAGACAATATAACTAATGAAATTATTTCTTTTATTTAATTTATTGATAATGAATAATTTTTTTTTAATAAAGACATTGTAGACACATAATTCTAAATTAAAGAAATTCATAAGTATTATTTTTTTCTTGTAGCTACTAAATTATTATTTAATTTAATAAGAGTAAAATATAGTACTCATTATGCCAACTTTGATTGGGATGGGGTTCGAACCTAAGACCTTTCTTATTGAAATTGAAATCAATGAATAAGTTAACGGTGAACTAACAGAAACTAAAGGAAAAGATAATATTTAACGGAAAAGTTAACGGATAATCATATTCATTAAGGATAAATTAGGAAATCTTAACGAAAAATTAAAATCTGATCAATCTGAGCCATTCATTTGATTAAAAAATTTGACCGCCATTTTTTCTACCCATTATAGGCCTAACTCTCTTGGGCTCTTATTAGTATAGTAGAATAGTAGATGTTTTGCAATTTCATATTAATAATTCTATAAGTACTCTAAGAATAAAAATATGCCTAGACATAACCAATTATATATTACGTATACAAACATTGCATGCAACAGGTATCTATGATGAATTTATAATTAACTATTCATAATGTGTCATATTATGGAGTATTTTAACTCCAGACGATAAGCCTATCGGCCCTATCGTATTTCTTTTTCATATATGATTGTTTCATTCAATACACCTCAATGATAGCGTGCTGCGTGTATTTGGATAAAATTTTCTCTTTAATTTTAACTTATAATTCTTATATTGCACTTTAATATGATGTCTAAATTGTAACAATATATATTCTTTATAATTCTAATGCTTGATTCTTTTCAATTTAAATTTTTACGAATGTGCAGTGGATGGATCGGATAATGTATGATGTCAAAATTTTTGTATTATGTATGTTGCATAATGTATCTATATCGCTCAAAATTTTTTGCAATTATACTATGATGAGTTATAATGATTTTTTTTTATTAATACCATATAAATAACATCTACTTTGAAATCTAGTGCCTTTAATTAAAATAAGTAATAAGGTTTAAATTGACCACTGAACGTAATCTGAAAATGCAATTAGGTCACTGAACGAAAAAAAGTGCAATTAGACCACTGAACACTCCAAAAATGTGCAATTTCACCTGATAGCAGGTTACCCTCAATTTTAGTAGGTTACCTGCTTACGTGGCAGTTGAGTTGGCATTTTTAATAAATTTTAAATAATTTTAATAATAATTTTTTTTATAAAATAAAAAATAAAGACGGCTTTATTTTATTTTTTATTTAATTTTTTTCATTTTTTTAAAATTAATTATTAAAATTAATTATTAAAATTTATTAAAAATTATTAAAAATGCCAACTCAGCTGCCACGTAAGCAGGTAACCTGCTAAAATTGATGGTAACCTACTATCCGGTGAAATTGCATACGTTTGGAGAGTTCAGTGGCCTAATTGCACTTTTTTTCGTTCAGTGACCTAATTGCATTTTCAGGTTACGATAAATGGCCAATTTGAACCTTATTCCTTAAAATAAACATATATAATGAGATGATGAGAGTAATTTATTTTTAATTGATCCAATTTATAACAAAACAAAATCATAGTTAGGTTCAGGCCCACCACTTGTTAACTTCACAAATTATACCATGGATCAAGATCTACATTGCATCATGTAAATCTAAAATAACATTCAAATTATGTGTCTGCCATTAACATATTATCTGTTTGCAGTTAATACAATTGTTATACCGTGGATCAGGGTTTATATTGCATTGTGAACCCTGATACAAAAATTTTGTACCTTCAGTTAACACATTCTGTACCTACAGTTAACCGTTTCTGTACATGTAAACAAATAACTTGATAATTGCTGACACATAATATGATAACTACATGTACATAAACTATCAACTGCAGGTACAAAATGTGTCAATTATAGATAGAGAATCTGAAGATTATTTTTGGATCAGGGTCTACAATGCAAAGTAGATCCTGGTCCATAGTATAATTTGCCCAGTTAATAAATTATGTATTTGTAAATAAATACACATAATATGTTAACTAAAGGCACATAATATGCTGTTAACATATTACGGAGTATGTCTCTACAATTAATACATTATGTGTGTATAGTTAACATATTATATGTCTTAGTTAACATATTATTATTATGTGCATTCAAATTATTTATACACACATTATTAAATGAACGCACATAATATGTCAATTACGTATACATAATTTTTTGACCATGATTTACAATGTAAAGTGGACTCGGTCTATAGCATACAATTGTTGTCAACTTTAAACAAAGCTCATTTAACAGCTAATATTGAGGTTACAAAGCTCATTTAACAGCTAATATTGGGGTGTACAAAGTCAGAATATCTCCCATGGTACTATAATTTATTAATTTTTACTCAAATCTTGAGGATATAGACTGGAAAATTAGGCATAATTGCAAAAATATAATAATGCCAAAACGCTTATGACTTTGTTACTAAAGCTAAGATTGAAATCAACATCAGTTCCAACTGTTAAACCATTTTGCAGCTTTACAACTCTTCATATAGCAACACAATTTGCTATTTCCTACTTTAATGAAATTACTTTTTAATACTTATTCCCTAACTTAATTAGGCTTGTTTGGGTGAGTTGCGAGTTTAAATTTTTCCAAAAGATTGAATCTCTAACTCTGACCTGACAGAGTATTTGAAGATGTAAATTATGATAATCATTATTGCATGGACCATGGTCAACACAATTGTGTGAACCATAAATAAAAGGTACATTTTTAATATACTAAGGGTACATTATTTATGTACATAAAGTACAATTTTGAAAGTACATTTTTAATATACTATGAGTACATTATTTTATATAATGTACCTTCAATACAAAAATAATGTACCTTCAGTACAAAAATAATATACCCTTAGTATATTAAAAATGTACCTGATATTCATGGTCCACACAATTGTGTGGACCATGGTCCATGCAATAATTTGCCTAAATTACGGTGACTTAGCAAAAGGAAAATTATTCTGTGGACCCACCTTGCAA